TTTTTAGCTATAATTTGTGATAACTTTTTTAAAGAGGAAAAATAGCATACTTTAAAATGGCCATAACTCCTTAAATATTGACATTTCGGGGTTTTTAGCTATAATTTGTGATCACTTTTTGAACTAGGAAAAATAGCATACTTTAAAATGGCCATAACTCCTTAAATATTGACATTTCGGGGTTTTTAGCTATAATTTGTGATCACTTTTTGAACTAGGAAAAATAGCATACTTTAAAATGGCCATAACTCCTTAAATATTGACATTTCGGGGTTTTTAGCTATAATTTGTGATCACTTTTTAAAGGAGGAAAAATAGAATACTTTAAAATGGCCATAACTCCTTAAATATTGACATTTCGGGGTTTTTAGCTATAATTTGTGATCACTTTTTGAACTAGGAAAAATAGCATACTTTAAAATGGCCATAACTCCTTAAATATTGACATTTCGGGGTTTTTAGCTATAATTTGTGATCACTTTTTAAAGGAGGAAAAATAGCATACTTTAAAATGGCCATAACTCCTTAAATATTGACATTTCGGGGTTTTTAGCTATAATCGGTGATCACTTTTTAAAGGAGGAAAAATAGCATACTTTAAAATGGCCATAACTCCTTAAATATTGACATTTCGGGGTTTTTAGCTATAATTTGTGATCACTTTTTGAACTAGGAAAAATAGCATACTTTAAAATGGCCATAACTCCTTAAATATTGACATTTCGGGGTTTTTAGCTATAATTTGTGATCACTTTTTGAACTAGGAAAAATAGCATACTTTAAAATGGCCATAACTCCTTAAATATTGACATTTCGGGGTTTTTAGCTATAATTTGTGATCACTTTTTAAAGGAGGAAAAATAGCATACATTAAAATGGCCATAACTCCTTAAATATTGACATTTCGGGGTTTTTAGCTATAATTTGTGATAACTTTTTTAAAGAGGAAAAATAGCATACTTTAAAATGGCCATAACTCCTTAAATATTGACATTTCGGGGTTTTTAGCTATAATTTGTGATCACTTTTTGAACTAGGAAAAATAGCATACTTTAAAATGGCCATAACTCCTTAAATATTGACATTTCGGGGTTTTTAGCTATAATTTGTGATCACTTTTTGAACTAGGAAAAATAGCATACTTTAAAATGGCCATAACTACTTAAATATTGACATTTCGGGGTTTTTAGCTATAATTTGTGATCACTTTTTAAAGGAGGAAAAATAGCATACATTAAAATGGCCATAACTCCTTAAATATTGACATTTCGGGGTTTTTAGCTATAATTTGTGATAACTTTTTTAAAGAGGAAAAATAGCATACTTTAAAATGGCCATAACTCCTTAAATATTGACATTTCGGGGTTTTTAGCTATAATTTGTGATCACTTTTTGAACTAGGAAAAATAGCATACTTTAAAATGGCCATAACTCCTTAAATATTGACATTTCGGGGTTTTTAGCTATAATTTGTGATCACTTTTTGAACTAGGAAAAATAGCATACTTTAAAATGGCCATAACTACTTAAATATTGACATTTCGGGGTTTTTAGCTATAATTTGTGATCACTTTTTAAAGGAGGAAAAATAGCATACATTAAAATGGCCATAACTCCTTAAATATTGACATTTCGGGGTTTTTAGCTATAATTTGTGATAACTTTTTTAAAGAGGAAAAATAGCATACTTTAAAATGGCCATAACTCCTTAAATATTGACATTTCGGGGTTTTTAGCTATAATTTGTGATCACTTTTTGAACTAGGAAAAATAGCATACTTTAAAATGGCCATAACTCCTTAAATATTGACATTTCGGGGTTTTTAGCTATAATTTGTGATCACTTTTTAAAGGAGGAAAAATAGCATACTTTAAAATGGCCATAACTCCTTAAATATTGACATTTCGGGGTTTTTAGCTATAATTTGTGATCACTTTTTAAAGGAGGAAAAATAGCATACTTTAAAATGGCCATAACTCCTTAAATATTGACATTTCGGGGTTTTTAGCTATAATTTGTGATCACTTTTTAAAGGAGGAAAAATAGCATACATTAAAATGGCCATAACTCCTTAAATATTGACATTTCGGGGTTTTTAGCTATAATTTGTGATCACTTTTTAAAGGAGGAAAAATAGCATACATTAAAATGGCCATAACTCCTTAAATATTGACATTTCGGGGTTTTTAGCTATAATTTGTGATAACTTTTTTAAAGAGGAAAAATAGCATACTTTAAAATGGCCATAACTCCTTAAATATTGACATTTCGGGGTTTTTAGCTATAATTTGTGATCACTTTTTAAAGGAGGAAAAATAGCATACTTTAAAATGGCCATAACTCCTTAAATATTGACATTTCGGGGTTTTTAGCTATAATTTGTGATCACTTTTTAAAGGAGGAAAAATAGCATACTTTAAAATGGCCATAACTCCTTAAATATTGACATTTCGGGGTTTTTAGCTATAATTTGTGATCACTTTTTAAAGGAGGAAAAATAGCATACTTTAAAATGGCCATAACTCCTTAAATATTGACATTTCGGGGTTTTTAGCTATAATTTGTGATCACTTTTTAAAGGAGGAAAAATAGCATACTTTAAAATGGCCATAACTCCTTAAATATTGACATTTCGGGGTTTTTAGCTATAATTTGTGATCACTTTTTAAAGGAGGAAAAATAGCATACATTAAAATGGCCATAACTCCTTAAATATTGACATTTCGGGGTTTTTAGCTATAATTTGTGATAACTTTTTTAAAGAGGAAAAATAGCATACTTTAAAATGGCCATAACTCCTTAAATATTGACATTTCGGGGTTTTTAGCTATAATTTGTGATCACTTTTTAAAGGAGGAAAAATAGCATACTTTAAAATGGCCATAACTCCTTAAATATTGACATTTCGGGGTTTTTAGCTATAATTTGTGATCACTTTTTAAAGGAGGAAAAATAGCATACTTTAAAATGGCCATAACTCCTTAAATATTGACATTTCGGGGTTTTTAGCTATAATTTGTGATCACTTTTTAAAGGAGGAAAAATAGCATACTTTAAAATGGCCATAACTCCTTAAATATTGACATTTCGGGGTTTTTAGCTATAATTTGTGATCACTTTTTAAAGGAGGAAAAATAGCATACATTAAAATGGCCATAACTCCTTAAATATTGACATTTCGGGGTTTTTAGCTATAATTTGTGATAACTTTTTTAAAGAGGAAAAATAGCATACTTTAAAATGGCCATAACTCCTTAAATATTGACATTTCGGGGTTTTTAGCTATAATTTGTGATCACTTTTTGAACTAGGAAAAATAGAATACTTCAAAATGGCCATAACTCCTTAAATATTGACATTTCGGGGTTTTTAGCTATAATTTGTGATCACTTTTTAAAGGAGGAAAAATAGCATACTTTAAAATGGCCATAACTCCTTAAATATTGACATTTCGGGGTTTTTAGCTATAATCGGTGATCACTTTTTAAAGGAGGAAAAATAGCATACTTTAAAATGGCCATAACTCCTTAAATATTGACATTTCGGGGTTTTAGCTATAATTTGTGATCACTTTTTTGAGGAGGAAAAATAGCATACTTTAAAATGGCCATAACTCCTTAAATATTGACATTTCGGGGTTTTTAGCTATAATTTGTGATCACTTTTTGAACTAGGAAAAATAGCATACTTTGAATTGGCCATAACTCCTTAAATATTGACATTTCGGGGTTTTTAGCTATAATTTGTGATCACTTTTTGAACTAGGAAAAATAGTATACTTTAAAATGGCCATAACTCCTTAAATATTGACATTTCGGGGTTTTTAGCTATAATTTGTGATCACTTTTTGAACTAAGAAAAATAGCATACTTTAAAATGGCCATAACTCCTTAAATATTGACATTTCGGGGTTTTTAGCTATAATTTGTGATCACTTTTTTGAGGAGGAAAAATAGCATACTTTAAAATGGCCATAACTCCTTAAATATTGACATTTCGGGGTTTTTAGCTATAATTTGTGATCACTTTTTGAACTAGGAAAAATAGCATACTTTAAATTGGCCATAACTCCTTAAATATTGACATTTCGGGGTTTTTAGCTATAATTTGTGATCACTTTTTAAAGGAGGAAAAATAGCATACTTTAAATTGGCCATAACTCCTTAAATATTGACATTTCAGGGTGATATCACTAGGTCGACCTAGCCGCCTCTATCCATTTTACTTCGCATCTATTTCGTCTTTTCTGTTTTAGCCTTGTTTTTAGTGTCTCCAACGTGCGTTGCAATACACCCATCTCTCTTTTCGTCCTTGTCTCTCTATATATAAGTGTCTGTTGGTATATATGTAAATGCACATATATATTTTCTAGTCTCAGATAATGCCGCAACATCGGTTGCCATAACACATTGACGTTGTGCAAACCATGTAAAAATTGGCACAATTCATTTAGGGCAACATCCTTGAAGCTTTTGCCGGCATATAACGTTCAGCGCCATCTCTCTCCTTTTACTTCCTACACCTCTCTCTCACAAATAACAGAACAATGAATGAAAGGATGTATGTATGAATGACAGAGGACGAACGCGACATGGGTACAAACAGATAAGTTCCTCATAGATTCGGATCTCTATGTATAGCTAAATGAACAAGCAATGGGGACGGACGGCATTTCCCCTCCCCTCTACCTCACTTCCTATAAACTCTCTGTATTTCACACAGAATGACGTCATTCAACCAAGTTTATCATTGAGAAAAAATAGAGAAGGTAAATTTTAGCGCCGCAAGGGGCCGGGGTCAGCTATTTTTTTTCACACTGAGGTCATACCCCAGGGTATTCGTCCTTGTTTAGAGCCCACAAAAAAAAGCCTCCCTCCCTCGAAATACAAAACTTCATTCATTTATTTTTTTGTTATACTTTTTTGTCTGTAAGCCATAATTTATTTATTGCAATCAAATTGTGTTTTTTTTTTCTCAATTTTTTTCCATTTCTTTTCAATCAATTTATGATTTGTGTGTGTTTGTTTGTGTTGAGTTTTTTGGAAGAAATTTTTTTTTATAAAAAAGGAAACTTATAATTGTTTGCACGAATCCTGGCAGCCAGCAGTTGGCTTGTCATCTTCATCCATAGTTGTTTTTTTTAAGGCGACAAGGGCCAGGACCTTCTGATTTTTTGGCAAATTAAATAATCCAGGCGCAAAAAAAGTATAAATATTAAAATTACGAAAGCATTGTTGATGTTCTTCTTCTTCTTGTTTATTTGTCTGTCTCCGTGGGTCAGTTTTTCATCATCAGCATCATCATCAGGAAATAAATATATGTTTGTATATTGCAATCGATTCTATAAACAATTTATAAAATTTGGAAAAGTTTCTTCAGTTCAACCATTAGAGCCCAATCAGCCTTAATTAAATCATCACGGAAGTAATCCTTGCAAGCATCGATACTTTGACGGGAAATCTGAAAAGAGAAGAAGGTGATAAAAAATGAAATGGAAAGGATAAAAAGAAACAAAAAAAATAAAAATTACCAGTAAAGAAAGTCTTAAAGTCGGGCGGGGCCGACTTTATGATACCCTACACCACTTTGCTAATTTAGTTGAGCTCCACATAATAATTAAATGTTTTTATGGGAGAATTCATAATTCACCCTATGATTATAATTATAATTTAAAATTCAAAGGACTAAATATGCCGAAACATTTGTATCCTTTAAATTCGGAATTGTATTGCCCATTTGGAGCAAAAATAATTTGAAATCAGATAAAGATATATATGGGAGCTATATCCAAATCTAAACCGATCTCCATAAAATTTGGCAAAGATATTTCTGAGCGGTATTTGATATATTTCCCTGAATATCGTTCTTACGGATTGCTATTACGGCTGTGGACAACAAATCGGATGAACACTATATATGGCAGCTATAGCTATATCTGAACCGATCTTCACCAAATTTGGCATACTAGCTTCTAGACTCAATTCGGTCGTATGTGCCGAATTCCACCCCATTTGGACAAATATTAGACGTACAATAAAAAGTAAATCGGACGAAGTTATATATGGGAGCTATATCCAAATCTGAACCGATCTCGATAAATTTTAGCAAAGGTATTTCTGAGCTGTATTGGCTATATTTTCCCAAATATTGTTGTTACAGAGTGCATATTACGGCAGCGGAAGACAAAAATAACAAATCGGATGAACAATATATTTGGGAGCTATAGCTATATCTGAACCGATTTCGATCAAATTTGGCAAACTTATTTTCAGACCTAATTTGGTTGTATGTGCAAAATTCCATACCATTCAGACTGATATTACACGTTTGGTGCACAATAAAAGGCAAATCGGACGAAGATAAATATGGGAGCTATATCTAAATTTTTACCGATTATCTCCAATTTCAATAGCGTTCGTCCTTGAGCCAAAAATTTCATCGCAATCGGATAATAAATGCGACCTGCATTTTGTTCACAAGAATACATGGACAGACGGGCGGACTGACATGCATAAATCAACTCAGATTCTATGCAGATCATCAAAAGGGTCTATCTCGTTTCCTTTTGCCTGTGCACATACCCTAACCATCATGTGGTGTAGGGTATAAAAAGAAAGATAATAATAGAGGTCTCTCAATTTTTTAGACCCCAGGTCTCTTTGGGCAAAATTCGTTTTAGGACATTTAGAGTCGATCTAGGGATGTCCGTCCGTCTGGCTAGCTGGTGTGTAGGATAACTCATGAAGGTCCTAAACTTGGTACATCACAATATTATCCTCAAACTTAGATCGAGTTCGGAGATGGGCAATATCGGTCCACTCCATCTGGTACCTCCCCCACAGAAGGTCGAAATGCTATAATGGACAATATCGGACCACCCCATTAAGTACCTCCCCCATAAATGGTCGAAATTTTGAATAATTATAACTCTTATAAAATGTGATAAAAATATCCAATTATCTTCAAATTACACAGATCACAATATTTTAATTAACCCAAGGTCTGGTGTGAAGATGGAATATATAGGTCCACTCCTTCTGGTACCACCCCACAAAGGGTCAAAATTTTGAATATCCATGAAGCTCATAAAACGGGAAATGAACATCCGATTCCGTTCAGACTTGGAACATCTCAATATATGTATTAAAACAAGATCTGTTATAAAGATGGTAGAGATCGGACCAATCCTTCTGGTACCTCATCCACAAAGGGTCAAAATTTTGAATAATCAAAACGATTATAAAATCCAAATAAGAGTCCAGTTCTCTTCATACTTCGCATATCCCATTATTTCTAGTAATACCAAATCTGATGCGAAGATGGGATATATCGGCTCACAGGAGAATCACACCTTCTAGAGTTTTCAATAAAAAGGAGGACCTCATAGGTCTTATTTGAAAAGTAAACCGTCTAAAGGTCCTCAATGAAATGAATACCTTCTTCGGTATTCTTCGGTCTGAATACCTTTTGCAGGTCTTCTGAGCGAAAAAGATCTTTACAAAGTCTTCGGAGACCTGTCGAAGGCCTTCCTTATTATTATTTATGAATAGGAAACCTATATGAGACCTTCTACAGGGCCTGCTATGGATTGAAGGTTTCTTTTATAAAAAAAGACCTCTACAGGTCTTTTTACGCAAAAAAAATCGCCTTTAGCTCATTTATGCGTAGAACAAAAATTTGACCTCTCTCTCTCCGGTCCTTTTAGAGGAAAACAAAAAAAAACCATACAGCCTTCAACTATGCGAAATAATGACGCACTATTCGCTCTACGATTCCATTGGAAAACAAAGGACGAATGCCGGGCGGAGAGAAGGGACTAATAAAACAAAATGAAACATTGAATGACTAGCACAACATAGAGTACGAGACCCAACTCTCCACTTTTCCACCATTTCCTCGCATTGCAGAGAAGTTGGCAGAGAACGAAAATAAGATGTGTGTATTCCAAAAATAGATTTGTAGATGATGGAGTAAACATTAAATAATTGGGTCAATGTGTCAATACAAATAAACGAATGAACGAACGTAACATACACACACACACACAGAGATACGCATGTATATATACACCACTACAATATATATTATATACAAGAAAAAGAACATGTGTGTGTGTGTGCGCGCAGCATTTCAGCCAAAAGTCAATGGCCAACAGAAAGCGTAGAAGGCAAAGTATGACGTTAACAATTTTCCAAGCAATTGTCATGAATACCCTCAACCCAGCTATTGGATGGGATGGGAGGTATGGGAAGGCATCCAACCAACAAAACATTTCTCCATCCATTCATATTTTGCCTTGAGGTCGGCTTACATACATACATACATATTTGTTTCCTTGAGGTTTCTTCAATGGATTAAAGAAGAAGATGTGGAGGAAAATGTATTTAACTAGAAAGACTAAACGGGATCGAATGAGATATAGAATCCACTTTTTTAAACCACTTTAAAATCAAAATTCTCAAATATTCCCTGGAACCGAAGGATAGTAAATTTTACGTAAAAAATACCACTAATAATAATGCTGAAGGAAAACAAAGCATCCATAATCCAAAATATCTGAGAGACATCTTCCAGAAGCAAAAGTGACCAAAACTGTTAACCAACAAATTCCAAATATTTTTGCGAAATAGTCTTCTAACCCTTGCGAAGCCAAAATATTAAGTTGTAGCCCCTTGAAATAAAAATTGTGGTTAGGATCTTCGAAATAATAGTTTTAGACCATAGGTACCTTTGGACAAAATACGTTTTAGAACATTTGGAGTCGATCTAGCGATGTCTGCCTGTCCGTCTGTCTGTCTGCCTAGCTGGTGTGCACGATAACTCTCAAGCGTGATAGTGTAATTTCTTTATATTTGGCTGGGAAACCACAAGTGGGTATCGTTAGAGCACTCCAGCATTTAAATGTGAATAGATCTTTTGTGTCTCGTACCATAGCTCGTTACCTTTATACTGGTAGCGTAGCCCGACGTCAAGGAAGTGGACAGAAGAAAACAGCAACATCAGCAGAAATGGTTCGAAAAGTAAAGAAGCGACCCGCGTCGCAGTGGCCGAAAAATGGCTCGTGATGGCAATATTTCATTCGGCAAATATTGAAAAATGAGCTCGGGGTAAAGCCATTGAAATTCCAACAAGTAAAAAAGCTGTAAGTTCGGCCGGGCCGAACTTTTAATACCCTCCACCATTTGGTACAAATTTGGCAATTTCCAAAAAATAAAACCCGTTAAAAATTCTGTTAAAATCTTAAAAGTACCGAATGCTTATACGACGACGTGGGCCTGCATAGGCAACTTTTGTCATAAATTATTACATATTTAAATGCGAAACTTGAAGAAAAATCTGTTTATAATGTAGCTAAAATCGTCAAAATACCGAATATGGGGGGTACCGTTATATGGGGGCTATACGAAGACGTGGACCTGCACAGACAATTTTCTGGCATGGGCTGAAGTATCCATTACGAACTTCACATAGCGTAAAATCATTAAAATATCGAATATCGGGGGGTTCCGTTATATGGGGGATATATGAAGACGTGGACCTACATGGCTCACTCTTTGACTTTGGATGAAGTATCCATTACGAACTTCAAATACCAAATTTGAAACGATTCCGGTAAACAATGTCGCTAAAATCATCAAAATACCGAATATCGGGAGGTACCGTTATATGGGGGCTATATGATAACTTGGACCTACATGGCCCATTTACGAACTTAACCTGCCTACTGGGAAAAAATACATGTGTGCAAAATTTTAGCCTTCTATCTCAATTTGTTCGAAAGATAGCGTGATTACAACAGACAGACAGGCAGACACACAGACGGACAGACAGACAGACACACAGACAGACAGACGGACATGGCTAAATCGTCTTAGAATTTTACGCTGATCAAGAATATATATACTTTGTTGGGTCTGACATGAATATTTCGAGGAGTTACAAACGGAATGACAAAATTAATATACCCTCCATAGTATGGTGGAGGGTATAAAAAGTGCAAGAACTTAAACCGCAACAGAAAGAAAATAGACTCAAAAGAGCTAAAGAGTAGCTTCGCTTGGCCGAAAGAGCTGAACTGCCGAATTTGGTTTTCCCCGATGAGAAAACATTCGTTGTCCAGCAGTTTGTAAACAAACAAAATTATCGTGTTTACTTGCCAAAGAGGTCAGCTGAAAATGTGCACCTTCGGTTGGCCACCACAACTCAGGCGCCGGCCATGGTGATGGTGTGGGACGCCATAACAGTCGCTCTCCGCTCGTATTAATCGACCGTGGCATCAGAATAATGCCGAATATTATCGCGAAAATATTCTGGAGGGTGTATTAAAGCCTTGGGCACGCAAATATTTTGGCCGCAGAACTTGGACATTCCAATAGGACTCAGCGCCATCGCACTCAGCACGCTCCACCCAAGAATGGTTACAAAATGAGGTTCCTCGCTTCATTTCCAGCGCACAATGGTCACCAAAATCTCCGGATCTCCAATCCGTTGGACTATTGTGTCTGGAGTATTTTGGAAAGCAAAGTTGGCACTAAAAAATACCAAAGTGTCGATCATCCCAAGCAAGCGCTTCGCCGGGAATGGGCCAAAATACCGCAGAGCAACATTGTAGGCGCCATTACTAGTAATGCTGAAAATGGGTTTTTGTTGGCAGATGCGAAGACCTGAACCAGCATAGACAATTCTCTGTCACAGGCTGTAGCATCCATTACGAACTTGAAATATGACATCTCAAACAATTTTGGTGGGTCTTGTACCAAAACTCGTCAAAATTCTGAATATAGGGAGGTACTGATATATGGGGCATATACGAAGACCTGGACCGGCATAGACAATTTTCTGTCATAGGCTGTAGTATCCATTACGAACTTCAAATACCAAATTTTAAACAATTCCGGTCAATAATGTCGCTAAAATCATTAAAATACCGAATACCGGGAGGTACCGTTATATGAGTACTATAGAAAAACCTGGACCGATATATCTCATTTTCAATACCAACCATCCTAGACACAATACAAATTGCTCTGCTAAATTTTGACGCTCTACGTCAAATAATGTGGGCTGTATCGTGATTTCAATAGATCGACAGACGGACAAACAGACGGACAGACAGATGGACGGACAGACAGACGGACATCGTTAAATCGACTTAGAATTTTATACATGTATGCATATACACATATACATTATGGGGTCTACGACGAATACTTAAGGATGTTACAAACGGAATGACAAAGTTAATATACCCTCCTTTCCAAGGTGGAGGGTATAAAAATCGTATCATAAATTTCCATCAACTTACCTTGCTAACCAACATATCATCAGCTTCAAAATGACGGCCAAACATTTTGGGTGATTCACCGGGTATGGGTTCGATTTTGACACAAATCTCCTGACCTTTGCGGGCCGTTTCCAATTGTTTGTGATTCGATTCGATGGAGGTGACAATGCCAATATCGACAAACTGCAAAAGAAAAAGAGAGACAGGAAATAAATTTCATTATTAAAAAAATACTACTCAAAAAAAATATGCAAAGCAATTTACGGATGTATAACAAGTTAACAATTACAAAAAAAAATTAACAACAACAATTCCCTGGGGATAAGAGGCGTTCGCCAAAAAAACAACCTACAATCCATTGAGTCTGGTATTTTGATTTTCCTATCTTTGGTATGTTTTTCTTCTTTTTCTTTTATAAGGTTTCAGGCATTTCTCACCTACTCGTCGTCATCGCCATCATCATTCTCCGTCGTTGCAGTTGTCGTTGTCATAGCCGCTGTTGGGCTGTTAGGCATAAATGTTGCAAGTTTATTCAATTATTCAACTTTCAGCGACAGCAGCAACAACAACATCGCCACCACCACGTCATTATGCAACTTCAACTTCTCTGGAACTATGAAAAGCAAAAACCGATTCAAGTCATCGTAAACCAACCAACCACCACCGCCAACCTAAACCTAGGACAGGAAATTAAAAGCGTAACATTTCCTGTGGGCGTTCAGTTTAGCTTTGCAGAAATATGAGTGGAAGTAAGAAAAATGTAAATGATAACCAGACAGTCAGACAGACGACTGGCAGTAAGTCAGTCAGACTGATCGTCATTCAGCCAACAAGCCAACAGAAAAAAATAATAAACATCAAGTATTTATTGAATTGAATTGAATGCTGTTGCTTGTGGTGGGTCAGGAATGACAATTGCCATTTACAAAAGGTGCTACAAATTTTTATGAAATATCAGAGATGTCCCTTACCTGTTCCTCCCATAGATAGAAGAGCTACTATAGGTGTCCAATTGCCATTTACAAAAGGTGCTACAAATTGTGATGAGCTATGGGAGGTGCCCCTTCCCTGTTCCTCCTATAGATAGAAGAGCTACTATAGGTGTCCAAAAGATAGATACGCGTTAATTACGGGTTATGTTAGGAAAGTAAGTTTGCACAAAATTGGATGATCTTTTCTTGATCGATACAATAAATTATTTTCTGTGAAAATTTTGACTTTTTGTGGAGAAGGTACCAGAAGGAGTGGACCAATATTGCCCATCTCTAAGTTTGACATTAATATTACCATGTACCAAGTTTGAGGAAATTAGGAGAATCCACTTCTGTCTGAATATGAAATGGATTTGAACACCATTTTATAGCATTCAAAAGCAGAATTCGATTGGAGATGATCTGACGAAGAATTCCCGAGAGTACTCCTTTTACAGAGAGAGAGAGAGAGAGAGTATTCTACAGATTTGCAAAGAAAAATTAACAGCAAGATCTCCGACTTTAGTTGCGAGGAAGAAATACTCAAAAGGGACAGGACTCGAAGATTGCTGATAATGAAATTTCCAATATATCGAGACAATCCACTTCTGCTTGATTATAACTTGCATATCAAAGCATCGAAATAAAAGACAGAATTTGGTCAGGTAAATCTGACCGATGAATTCCAGAGAGTACTCCTTTTACCTGTGGTGAGAGTGGCAGTACTGGAAGATTGCTGAAAATGAAATTTCCAATCTATCAGGACAATCCACTTCAGCCGATTATATTTTGGATATCAAAACATCGAAATAAAAGACAGAATTCGGTCGAGGAAAATCTGATCGAAGAATAGCAGAGAGTACTTCCTTTGCCTGTGGTCGTATCAATAGATGAAAAGATGAACTTGAACGTATTCTCCAAAATTGCAAACAATCATTTACAGCCATAAATCCGATTTACTCAATTCTATTCGCGAATGAAACACACTCAGGTTTGGCTAGAATCGATTTTCGTTTAGGAAATCACATGGTACTCCACGGATTAAAAAAAAACGCTTTCGTCAATGTAAAAAACAAGTAAAAAACAGCTATCTTGAAAATTTTCAAAAAATCCTACTAAAATGAAAACCGTTATAAGCTGGATATACGATATCGTGGACCTATATAGACAATTCTCTTCCAGAGGGTAAAGAACACAGAGAAAACACTTTTGGGGGGATTTTCAGACAATTCCATTAAAAAATGTTGCTAAACTCATGAAAATACCGAATATCAGAAGGCACAGTTGCATGGGGGATATACGATAGCATGGACTCATATAGACAATTCTTTTCAAGGATTATAGTTCTCACAAAGACCTCCTTGTCTGGAATTTCAACTCCATTAAAAAATGAGGCTTTAATCATCAAATACCGAATATCGGGGGCTACCCATGTATGGGGGCTATACGATATGGTGGACCATATCTTGACAAACTATCCAAGTTTTTCTGAAAAAAACCTAATTTTTGTGGGCGCCATATCTTTACTTTATTTTTTGTAAAGAATTCAAAATTAATTTAAATTTCTGAAATGGCGCCCATATTCGTCTTAGACCCCATAAAGTATATATATTCATAATCAGCATAAAATTCTAAGTCGAATTAACGATGTCCGTCTGTCTGTCCGTCTGCCTGTCTGTCTGTCTGTCTGTCCGTCTGTCTGTCCGTTGAAATCACGATACAGCCCACATTATTTGACGTAGAGCGCCAAAATTTAGCAGAACAATTTTTATTGTGTCTACGATGGTTGGCATTGAAAATGAGATATATCGGTCCACGTTTTGGTATAGTCCCCTCATAAAGGTACCTCCAGATATTCGGTATTTTAATTATTTTTGCCACATTTTTTCACGGATTGGTCTGAAAATTGGTATTTGTAGGTCATAACGGGTCCCAGTTCATGTGGCAAAACATTGCATTTATAGGTCCACGATTTGGTATAGCCCCCATATAACGGGACCTCCCGATATTCAGCATTTTAATGGTTTTTGCCACATTTCTTCGCGTATTTGTCTAGAAATTGGTATTTGTTGGACTTAATGGTTCTAGCTCTTTTAGCGAAACACTGTATGTATAGGTCCACGTTTTTGTATAGCCCCATATAGCCGAATTTCCCGATATTCGGTATTTTGATGATTTTTGGCACATTTTCCCATTAATATGTCTAAAAATTGGTATATGTGGGTCATAATGGGCTCTAATGTTTCCTTTACCCTAAGGTGGAGGGTATTAAAAGTTTGGCCCGGCCGAAAAATTCAAGTTGTATTTAGCAAATTTTTCCGTTTGCGTTTTCAAGACATTTCTATTCACTTTGGCTGTCATCTATTAAATGCTGGGACGAAATAGGGAACTAACGTTCAGACGACATCACTTGCTAGGGCCAAATTCTCGAATTCCGCATCGAGTAAATTATTTAGTGAACATATAAAGTAAACAATTAAAAAGCAGCTAAAATCGGTAGAACTTAAACTTCATTTCAGCTCTTAAAATTTGAAAAATTCGCAACATCAGGTGATACAATATTTGAGGGCTCTACAAAAACGTGGACCTATGTGGCCAATATAAATACCAAAAATTTTACGGACCTAAATAAAAGTTTTATCAACCTAATTTCTTTTCGTTCGAGAGTTAAATTGATTTCCACAGACGTACAGACAGAGCTAAGTCGACATTAAATTTTATGCTGATTAAAAATATATGTACTTTGTGAGGTCCAAAAGTGTATATTTCGAGGGGTTACAAACGGGATGACAAACTTAATATACCCTCCATACTATGGTGGAGACTATAGAAATAGGGATAATGGACTAGGGCACCATCGGAACTATGTTACCTCCCTTGGGAAGACGGTGAAAACATGTATCGCAGCGAAAAAAAAACGAAAATTGTATTTCCGCAATTCCGACACTAAGGATGTGTGGTCTGCATCCTCGCAGGGGGGAGGTATAGTACGACCTCAGTTGTGGGGGCGCCATAGTCACATATTCTTCCACGAAACACGGTTTGCTAAAGAATTCAAAATTAATTTAAATTTCTGAAATGGCGCCCAACGTAAATTAAGTCGAAAAAACATTTAAACAAATTTTTTCTTCACCTTTAAACAATAATGGTACTTATACACAGGTCTGAAGTCAATCTGTACCTAAGTATTTTAATTATAGAGAAAATTAAAATAAAAAGCGCTTTTTTTTGCTAAAGAATTCAAAACTAATTAAAATTTCTGAAATGGCGCCCAACGTAAATCAGGTCGAAAAAAGATTTTAACATATTTTTCAATCGTCTTGCAAATAATATTTATACTTATGTAAAGGTCTGCGGCCAACCTGTGCCTAAGTATTGTTATTAAAGAGAAAATTATTTTTCAGACCTTATGCCCATTGGGCGCCATGAAATATGAACGATTTTTTGACAATCCGTTACATGAAAATCTTGAAAAACTGTCCAAGTTTTTCTGAAAAAAACCTAATTTTTGTGGGCGCCATATCCACATGTCCTTGTACGGACCACCTTAAAGAGCCTCTTTTGGATTTTTGTAAAGAATTCAAAATTAATTTTTTGTTGTTGCAAAATGGTCAGGCTTATCCCTTTATTGTTGTTTTTATAAAAACAACTTTTGTTTATGAGTGGAGAACGATGGTAATGTTTAATTTCTGAAATGGCGCCCAACGTAAATCTGGTCGAAAAAAGATTTTAACATATTTTTCAATCGTCATGCAAATAATATTGATACTTATGTAAAGGTCTGCGGTCAACCTGGGCCTAAGTATTGTTATTAAAATTATTTTTCAGACCTTATGCCCGTTGGGTGCCATGAAATAAGAAAGCTTTCTTGATAATCGTTTACATGACAATCTTTAGTTTTGGCTATTCCAAACTTTGACCCTTTGTTGGGGAGGTACCAGTAGAAATGGTCCGATCTCTACCAACTTCATAAAATATCTTGTGTTGATGAAATATTGACATGTACCAAGTCTGAATAGAATCGGATATTAAAATCGCATTTTATTGGCTTCATGGATATTAAAAATGTTGACCTTTTGTAGGGGAGGTACCAGAAGGAGTGGACCACTGTATCCAATCTTCATCGTAGATCTTATGTTAATAGAAATAATGGAATGTGTGAAATATGAAGAGTATCGGATGCTTATTTCGGATGTTATAATCGTTGTGGTT